CCTTTTGAAAATTTAGATTACACAAGGCAGAAACCTTCGTAACGCAAAATTAACAAAGAAACAAATACAAGGGGCCAAAACATTTAGGCAGCAACCTCCAAAATAGTTGGCCATATTTGTACTTGTACTGGCTCTAAATACATTTTAAACTTGAAGAGCACCAAAGGAACCTTCAGTCCTCTGCCAAGGCTGCAATGTTTTATTCAGCATGCCCCCTCGGTTTGGTCCTCTTACTGCAAGTGTGGACGTAGTACTCTCTGATTTCGGTGTGTTTATGAGCTTTTAATGTGGAAACAACTAGACGCTAACATTTATTTATTTATTGCGTCAACATGTTGAGTCTGCTTTTTCCAGAGTTGTGTTGCTAACTCTAGGGGGCCTTCACACTTCATTTTCTGCTTGTAATTAGAGATGCTCCCGATCAAATCACGTGATCGGGAAAGAAAAAAATCGGGGGAGTGCGGGGAATTTTCTTTTTTTTTATAAAATATTTGTAATTGTTAATTTAAGTTACAAAACAAAAATTGATCATGTTGCACGTCTTAAAGTCATCCTGAGGCCTTAGTTTTGGTTTAAAAAACATACACAACATCATGTATGTGTTGCTTGGTTTTGGGCTTGTTTTCAAACTAAGACCTCCTCAAATCTGGCACAGAGTGGGCAGGGCGGGCAGTGTCTAATAGTTAGCAGCAAACGCTAACAAGAGGGCTACGTTCAACTGGTGCTCGGGAGTGGGACAGAAGGAAAATGTCAGGAGTTGGAAGTATAATAAATTGAAAGCGAAGGCAGTGTAACAGGCCAGATGGCAATGTTTTACAAGGCGGAGGTTCCGCTTGGTGGAAAGAAAAGAGCTACGTTCAACACCATCTAATACGCCACCTGGAGAACAAACGCCAACAACAACACGACCAGTCAGTACACAGCGGCCCTTCAGGTAACGGTAACTGAAACAACCGACACTTTCAGAGACTTTTTAAAAGGAAAGAGAGAAACTGGCCAGAACAGTGAAAAGGCAAAAAAAATAACCAGCCAAGATAGCTGGAATTCACCGCGTTGGATGACCAGCCGTTATCTGTTACCTTTTTTTTCTCTCAATGCACTTGCATAAAAGATCGGATCGGGGAAAAAATCGGTTATCCGGCCAGATTGTCAAAATTAAATGATCGGAATCGGATCTGGAGCAACAAAAAAGGTGGATCGGGACATCCCTATTTTGTAATACATTTTTTTATATAATCCGTTGTTCATTTTTGCAGCTCAGCTCCATATATTGCCAAGTTAAATAGAAGTAAACATGGTTAATATCTTCGCCAAAAATGTGATTGGTTCTTCCTTCGCCCATGCTACTTCCATTGACCAAGTTGTGTGTGAAAAGGGCCAGTAATTGTTCCATAAATGTTCCAGTCAAACCAAGCAGAAAACATTTCCTCCTTGGCCGAGGTAACTATGGACTATTTGAAATAATTATGCCATAGTCAGTAGTCAAATAATGTCAAAGATAAAATCTAACAATACCTTCTTCTGGAAAATATGTGTTTTTTGTAAATATTTCCATTTTTCACTAAATGTCAACATCTCTTGTTTGTGTTTCTTCCAGTCAGGTTTGATCCGTGTGTCTCAGGAGGAGTTCTTGATCGCCCCCCTGCCCCAACATCTGGCTCAACAACACAACTACAGCACCCCCGATGGTCACCACCCGCATGTGGTCTACAAACGCTCAGCGGAACACATAGTTCACAGAAGATCAAGCGGGACATACAACACCAGTTCTACAAAACCTGACAACCCGTATCTTAACCATCATCATCAGCAGCATGATCACCACGACTATCAGCATGGAAAGCTGCAGAGGCAACACTTCTGCGGACGCCGCAAGCAATGTATGTAAGGGCACCTAATATTCATTTTCTCCAGTTTTTTACCAGCACCATTCATGAAACCATGTGTCATAAAACTATATGATGTAATATAAATTAGAAATACTAATATAATGAATATTAAAAGTAAATCCTAAAGCTTTTTATAACATTATATTCATATTTAAAAGCCTTTAATGATTATAAAATATTCAATAAAAAAAAGGATGCTTCTGAAACCAAAAGGTTTTTGACTGGTCATTGATTTCTACTTTTGTCTCGAATCTATCCATCTTCAATTAAAAACATTTTGGCCATTCTTTTACACAAATTACAATTCAACAAATTATATTATGAAAGGGCATAGACCATTACACGAAAAATGTGAGCCTGACCTAAAAACAGTTCTGAAACATAAAGCATTTTCGCAGCATTATCCCATTATCATTACATGAAAGGGGACATTTTGTATTTTTAATAAAGCAGTGAACCCTATAACTCTGAGGTTGCTGGATATGTCCACATACATTATGAAGATTAATGTCTATATTAAATGTTTTTATGTGCGTTTTGTCCAGTGTAATACAGCTACATCAGCCTGAGGCTACTTGGCCCACAGGCCAGTTTAAAGTTGTATCTTCCATTCTTGTGGTGAGAGGTACAAAGCATCGTGAGGAGTGCATTTCCTGTCCTTTCAACACCAGAGCTTGTACTCCTATCACCCGGCACGAGCCAGGAAAAAGACAGTTCATTCATTTGACCCTCACAGCCATCTCTTTCTCTCCCACTCTCTCCATCTCTCCTCCCTTCCGTCCTTCCCTTTCTGCCCTCCTAGATGCTCCCAAGCCTCCCGCTGAGGACACTTTCATAATGCCTGACGAGTTTGCGATACCCGAGGCGGAAGGGCCGGGAAGGGCAAAGAGATCACCCATTAACACCAACAGGGTGGGGGGTCTGAATGTGGAGACCCTGGTGGTGGCAGACAGGAAGATGCTGGAAAAACATGGGAGGGACAACGTCACCACCTACGTCCTCACTGTCATGAATATGGTGAGGGCGAGAGAAGGGAGGAGAAGGAATGAAGGAAGTCTAACATATGAGATAATGATGGCTCAAACACATGTGGGAAAAAGAAAAAAGTATGCCAGATCTTTTCCATTTGTTCTAACATGGGAGAGTGAACAGACAATAACAAACTTCAAGGCTAGGGTCACCTAACCCTTGGCCATCGGTTGCAGAGCTAGTTCTAACGATAGCTAGCTTATCTGCTAGCATTTTTCGCTGGTCTGGTATGGACATTAGCTAGTTATGGCTAATATTAGCAAATGTAAGCATGCTTTTATATATTTTGATTGTATCACACCAACCCAGTCTAACGGCATTTTGTGTTATAGTCACAACATTTAATCTATTGATTCGTGTTCACCAATACGATTTTCCCCTTTTTTTCGTGTCACAGAACGATTTTAAAAGCAATGTATTTCTATTGGTAGTATGTTTCGTGCCTGCATCACGTCTTTTTGTCCGGTCGGGTCTTGGAAGACCGGAAGCTGTGGGGTTCATAAAAACATGTTCTTACAAAATATCAATATCAACTGAATTTAAAAATAAAATAACCGGAAACAGATACACACCCACTGAACTGATTACCCAAGATCCTCAGCTATGGTTTAAGCTCGGTGATTGGATTGTTTAGCCGCAATGCACGTTGGGATATGGTGTTTATGCGATATGAAATCCGAAAAACATTAAAAGAAATTAAATAATAATACTTTAATCCGAGTGTACTTGCTTTTCTCTTTGGAGGTCATCACATAATGGCATTGTAATACACGCCTGCATTAAATATTACACATCTGCCGTAGTTCTTTATTTATAGAGCCCTGATTAGAAGACTTTTAGACAAACTGGAAGAACTGCCACCGAAACTGAATATGTGACGTGGATCATAAATATGTCAACAATTAAAAAACATCTTCAATTTCTCTTCACACAATACGTCTCCTATCGAGTGGCCTGTGTTCATCGTCCATAACATACGCCTGCCCATACCATAACCCCACCACCACCATGGGCCACTCGATTCACAACATTACCCTAACCCTCACACCAGATACTGACTGGTTTTCGGACCCCACCAGACCCCCCCAATAAAGCAAAAATGCACGTTTCAGAGTGGCCTTTTATTGTGGCCAGCCTAAGGCACACCTGTGCAATAATCATGCTGTCTAATCAGCATCTTGATATGCCACACCTGTGAGGTGGGATGGATTATCTCGGCAAAGGAGAAGTGCTCACTATCACAGATTTTTTCAGATTTGTGAACAATATTTGAGAGAGATGGTTATTTTGTGTATATAGAAAATGTTTTAGATCTTTGAGTTCATCTCATGAAAAATGGGAGCAAAAACAAAAGTTTTGCGTTTATATTTTTGTTTACCATTTTGTATTGTTAGTTAGTGAACTGGACCTAGCTGTTCATTACAAATCCTAAAGAACACATGATAGATTTTCCATACTACCAAATAGACTTTTTATCAGAAGTCATTATGTTGTTTAGCAGAACATGTAAATGTACCCTTGTTACAGACCTACAGTCCTTTCAGAATAAACACAGGTCTCCACAGGTTCATTCTTAGTTAGGATAAGGCAACATCATTATTTAGTCAGGTTTGGGGATACCATTGTTGTTGGGAAAAATTATACAGAAGTGGCGTTGTTAAGTGCGAAAGTATCGTAACAAGTAAATAATTCTGGTTTCACGCAGGACACAAAGATGTCTCCTGGTAAAAGTCTGTACTTTTTGGATAAACAGTTCTTACTCAATCTCTTGTTCGACCTTTCAGCAAACCGTCCTGATCGTCATAATAACTACGGCCACTATAGAGGGCTTTCTCACCTGAGCCTCTGACAATTTGTGGGTTGCTCAATTAACCATGATGTCTCGTTTTTGTAATCATACACATGTAAAATACAAATCATACCATATTTACTTAGTTACATTGTACACCTAACTAAATGATAGACTACCTTTTTGCTTGCTATAGCCAACATATGTTACAGAACTGCCTCCAAATGCACTGAAGGTAAAGTGAATCAAACTGATATAAATTGTCCAACAGAGATATGATATTGGCAATACATTTGAAGTAAAAGGTGAATTTAAAAGCATCGATTATACAGAACTTCCTTTGATTTTATATCAGTGGAAGTGTTTTCTATAATGTCTACAAGAGGCAGTGTGTACACCACTCACTTTAATCTGATACCTTGTTTAAATAAATCTGTGTATTTTACTGTACTCTAAACATCTGGAATATATCCACATGCAAGCTGTGTAGGCTACATATGTCTCTGACACACTTCTGCAGATACATATTTAGGCAGAAAACGATTTAAATGATGACACTTGAACATAATTATATGAATAAATAAAAAGCGTGGCTTTACTCAAATACATCCCAAAAGGAGACATTCATAAACCTTCCGTTACCTGGCTGAACTCATTTCCCTCGAGTATATTCCCTCTTTGTCCTGATTGGCCAGTTGCTATTTTAAACCGTGCTGTTAATGAGCCAATCATCTCTCAGAAAGAAGGGTCTTCCACAGACGCTCCTCCCTCCTCTCCTGTCATTGGTTGCCTTTGAGATTATAAATATACGCTCTCAGCCAATGAGGAGAGAGCAACTGTTGCATTCAAAGACCCCCCC